TCCGAAACGCAGGTGAGGACGGTGGGTGGCAGGGCTGGGCTGGGCTGGGCTGGGCTGGGCTGGGCTGGGCTGGGCTGGGCTGGGCTGGGGGAGCAGCCTGGGCGCGGTGTGACATCCAGCTCTGCTGTCCCCGCCGTCTGGGGGCTGCGAGTTCCCCTGCGCCGTGTGCTCTGGTGGGGGTGAGACGTGTCTGTGTGCTGAGCTGTGTCCGGCCTCAGCTGGAGGGGGAGCTGGCACGGGATCTGGCCCGGGAGGTTCCACCAGTTGCTCTCTGAGAACCGGGGGGAATCCAGCAGCAGCACCAGGTGAATGGTGCCATGTTTGTGATTCCTGCTTCAGGGGAAACAGCTAAAAAGGGGATGAAAGGCAGCACAGGATTTCACTTCTCAACGACCCTGGATGCAGCCCTTCCCAACCCTTCTCCTTCCCTGCAAGGCTTTGTTCTTGAGGGCTCTGGGGGCCAGGTGGGCAGCAGGGTGCTGCACTGCAGGGTCTTGGTGTGTCCTTTGGCAGGACCTTTTGAAAAAGTCTGTGGAAGAAGCCCAGGAGGAGTCAGAGAGGATTGTGCAGGAGATGCAGGAGCTGGAGGAGCAAACACACAGCATCAAGGTAATGCTGTGGTCACCTTCAAGCTGGGTGACTGGGTGAGGCTGTGCTGGCTCTCACGGCTCTTCCCCACCCAGGACTCCTCTGAGAGGCTCAAATCGGTGGTTCTGAGCAAGTTCACCGTCCTGAGGAAAGCCCTGGAGGAGTGCCAGGGGCAGGCAGTGGCCAGGATCGAGCAGGAACAGGCAGCAGCTCTGGGGCACGTGGGGGACAACTGGAGCCTCCTGAAGGACCGTCTGGATGTCCTTGGCCAGCACAGGGAGAGGGCTCAGCACCTGCTGGCCTGCCCTGACCACAGGACCTTCCTCCAGGTACTGTCCTCTCCAGCTGCCAGCCCCCTGCCCTGCCAGTGAGGGCAGAGCTGTGGGTGACCCCTATCCCCAGGGGGGACGTGTCCCCAGCCTGGCTCAAGGATGGCACAGGGCTGAAGGGACGAGCTGCTTTTCTGGGGGTTGTTAAAAAGATGGGGGGTCAATGGTGGATTGGAGTGGGTGATGCCACCCTGGGGGACATGGGCAGCATCTTCAACCTCAAACTGCTCAGCAAGGCTTTTCCAGTGCCAGCAAGATACAAGGTCCTGTTCTGCAGCCCCTCTGCTCCCTGCAGCCTCTCATTGTCTCTAGGGCTGTTCCCGGACCCCACAGCTAATGGCAGAGGTTTTGGGGATGCCCCTGTTACTCACTAGGGAGACATGGCACATAGGGATGGGATTCTGAGCTGCCAGTCTTCCTCAGGCTAGTGCATGAGTGTCTGTGCATCCATCCACAGGAGTTTCCCCTGCTCCCATCTCCAGGGAGCCCAGAGGTGCTGCTCCCTGTGGAGTTTGATGCAGCTGCTGTGGTTGAGCCCATCACTGAGATGCTCACTGACATCTCCAAGCTCCTGCTGGAGTATCTGCCTGGCTCTCTGGCCCACAAAGCCCCCGACTCCATTGGCCAAGGTAACAGTTCACCTTGCAGGTTCCCCCTGAAGGGCTCCAGGTCACCCTAAACCACAGCCTAGCCCATGTCACCACGCTGGGGCCATGGCTGCTGGGCACAGGGGGTTGGGATGGAGGTGCACATCTACTGTTCAGAACATGGGTATCAGCAGGGTGGGGTGGGCTTCCCTGTGGCCCCCACCTTGCTGGCAATGCCAAGCCACAGTGGCATGTGTCTGCTCCCAGGCCTGGATATGATGGACTTGCTCCTCCTCCCATCAAAATCAGGAAGGAACAAGTTTTTGGGTGGCATCACTCAAAATGCCTGTCCCTGTCCTCCACAGGCCCAGTGCAGCCCAAGGAGCCAATGATGAAGGTGGTGACCCCTCTTCCCAATTGCCAGCTCCGAGCTGAGCTTCTGAAAGGTGAGGAGCAGGTGGGGGTCTGGAGGTACAGGACCCTGCTGGGGTCCCCAGCAGGCAGAGGCTTCACCAAGCCAGGCTCTTCCCTGGGAGGAGAGTGGTTGTGGCTGCAGAGACCAGGGGCTCCTTCCCTGGCTCCCCCAGTTCCTCTCCTGAAATGCAGAGAAGGGCACTGCAGGACTAGGGGACTCTGTGTGGCTGGGAAAGGGCTTGTTAGGGGGGTTTGCAGTTTTCCCACGGGAACTGGAGCTGCCAGTGCCCAGCATTGGGTCAGTCACTGCCCTGGATCTTGGCCTGTCTGCATCCCCTTGTCACTCATCTTGGGTATCTCACCCAGGCAGGAGTGATGTGCCTGTTCTCAAGGACCCATAATTCAGCCCTGTGTGTTCCCTCAGGCAGGGAGGCAACGTCAGCACCCACAGGGATGTGTCATGGGCTGCTCCAGCTGCCCTGCATGGCACCAACCCAGAGCCCTGCCTGCACAGCCCTGCCTGCAGTCACTGCTCTCTGTCCAGGGATATGGCCCCAGCACTCCCAGCTGCAGCCTCTCATGTCCCCTTCCCTGCCTGGGCCCACCCCACTCCAATTCCTTAGGGATTTCCCATCTCCTCCCTGCTGGGACAAGGGCTGGATAATGTGTAGGGCACATTGGTCGAGTTACTTTTGCCAGGGAGGCAATTGGTGCTTGTAAGACCTGCAAAGATTCCTGCCATCAGGCCCCATAAAATGTTCTCAGGGTTATGTATAGTAAAAAAAATAATATATTTATGAGCAGCAGGCACGAGCCCCTCCCTCTGCCTAATCTCACGGTTTTTGCTCCTGAAATCGAGCACATCTCTTCCAAAATGAGCGTGGAGCTGCTGCTGTTTGCTGGCTGAGAGCTGGGCTGGGCAGGGCCAGTGTGAAGCATCAGGTCCCGGTGCCTCCCCGGCTGTTCCTGGGTTATTGTGGCTCCTTCTAGGGGCGGGTGTGCAGGTATCACACCTCACCCTGCTCCCCTTCCCCTCCAAACACAACTAGTTCCCTTCCACTTTGGGAACCAGCCCCTTTCGCAGCTTCAACCCCATCCCCACCGGGGGAGCTCCCAGCCAGGGGAGGTGGTGGTGACGGTGCGTTTCGACCCCATCCCTGCCCTTGCTCTTCCCAGACCACCGCAACCTCACCTTCGATCCCCAGACGGCCAACAAATACCTGGAGCTCTCCAAAGGCAACCGGAAAGCCAAGCACGGCCCCAGCGCCATCGGGGGGCTGCGGGAGCAGGGACCCCGTTTCCAGCCCTGGCAGGTGCTGTGCACACAGAGCTATGAGCGCGGCCACCACTACTGGGAGGTGAAGGTTTCCAGCCACTCCGTCATCCTGGGGGTCACCTACCCCGGCCTCCCTTGGGAGCAACAGCAGGGCCACAAGTTCAACATCGGGCTGGACAGGGGTTCGTGGGGGCTGCAGGTGCGGGAGGATTGTTACCTGGCCTGGCACAAGGGCCGGGTGGAGAAAATCCAGGAGAGGCTCTATAAGGACTTGGGGGTCAGCCTGGATTGCAGCAAGGGGCTCCTCTCCTTCTACGGGCTCGGGGAGAGGACGCAGCTCATCCACTCCTTTCACAGCGTCTTCACCCAGCCCCTCTACCCCGTGTTTTGGCTGTGCGAGGGGCGGGTGGTGATGCTGTGCTGGAGGACTGAGCTGCAGCCACCACAGGGCTGCTCTGTTAGCCAGGCTGGCGAGCTGC